ACTCTGAATCCCAGTGAGTCCACTGAAAGGCAGCAGCTGGAAGCTTAAAGAACTGATCAGAGATCTGAGCTACTATCTACTACAGGGGTAGAAGGAGACTGAGGTTTCAGTCCAGCTAAATGACTGGCTGGCAGAACAAAAATTAACACTCTTCAGAGGAATGTAGCAGAATCCAGAGTCCTTATTAATGTATCATCCATAATGTCCACTGTATAGTAAAACATCATCAGACAAGAAAAAAGTATCAATAACGTGACTCCTACTGAAGCAAAATGCAGTCAAAAACTTTAAGGAAGCTATTTTAAGTAACTTATAGGAAAACATACTCTTATTTAATAGACTGACGGGGAATCTCAGCAGAGAAATAGCAATGATAAAAAAAAGGACTAATTGGGAATTCTGCATGTGACAAATACAATAACTGATATCAAAATTCACTGGATGGCCTCAACAGCACTTTAGAGACAGTGGAAGAGTTGGTGAATTAAAAGTTAATACAAACGATCCAATCTGAAGATTAGAGAGAAGCAAGATTAAAGAAAAGGGACTTCCCTGGTGGCACAGTGGTTAAGAATCCACCTGCCAGTGCAGGGGACACGGGTTCGAGCCCTGGTCCAGGAAGATCCCACACGCTGCGGAGCCACTAAGCCCGTGCACCACAACTACTAAGACTGTGCTCTAGAGCCCGCAAGCCACAACTACTGAAGCCCATGCACCTCGAGTCTGTGCTCCGCAACAAGAGAAGCCACTTCAGTGAGAAGCCCATGCATCACAACAAAGAGTAGCCCCCGCTCACCCCAACTAGAGAAAGCCTGTGTGCAGCAACAAAGACCCAACACAGCCAAAAATAAATAAATAAAATAAATAATTTATTTTAAAAAAAGATGAAAGAAAAACATGATTATCTCAGATAATGTACTGGAGTTCTAGAGATCTACTGGAGTTCTAGAAGGAGAGGAGAAAAGAGAAAAAATTTTTGAAGAAATAATGGCCAATATTTCCCAAATTTGGTAAAAAAACAAAACATAAACTTACAGATCCAAGCTCAACAAACCCCCAAGCAGGATAAACTACAATTATACCTAGGCACATCATAGCCAAACTGCTGAAATACAAAGATGAAAGAGCCAGAGAAAGACATTACATACAAGAGAACAATGATACAAGTGACAACTGATGTCTCTTCAGAAATAATGGAAGCCAGACAATAAATGCCTTTCAAGTGATGGAAAAAAACAACCCAGGATTCTATCTTCAGTGAAACTATCCTTCAAAGATGAAAGTAAAATAAAAGTCATTTTCAGTGAACAAAAATAGATGATTAGTCACCAGCAGGCCTCCACAATTCTCAAGAAAATTCAAGCTGAAGCGAAATGACGTGTCATTCAGACTCACAAGGAATGAAGAACATCAGAAATGGTAGATATTTAGCAAATATAAAAGACTATAGGGATTTCCCTGGTGGCACAGGGGTTAAGAATCTGCCTGCCAATGCAGGGGACATGGGTTCGAGCCCTGGTCTGGGAAGATCCCACATGCTGTGGAGCAACTAAACCTGCATGCCACAACTACTGAGCCCACGTGCCACAACTACTGAAGCCCATGTGCCTAGAGCCCATGCCCTGCAACAAGAGAGGCCACCACAATGAGAAGCCCGCACACAGCAATGAAGAGTAGCCCACTCACCGCAACTAGAGAAAGCTCACGTGCAGCAATGAAGACTCAATGCAGCCATAAATAAATAAATTTATATTAAAAAAAGACTATATACAGGCATACCTTGTTTTATTGCACTTTGCTTTATTGTGCTTTGCAGGTGTTGTTTTTTACAAATTGAAGGTTTGTGGCAACTCTGTGTCAAGTCTATTTAGTGCCACAGCATTTGTTCACTTCATGTCTGTGCCACATTTTGGTAATTCTTGCCGTATTTCAAACTGTTTCATTTTTATTCTATTTGTTACAGTGACCTGTAATCAGTGAGTTTTCTTTTTTTTTGCCACGCCATGTGGCTTGTGGGATCTTAGTTCCCCAACCAGGGATCGAAACCACACCCTCGGCAGTGAAAGCCCAGAGTCCTAACCACTGGACCGCCAGGGCATTCCCTCAGTGATCTTTGATGTTATTAAGTATTGCAAAAAGATTATGACTTGCTGAATGCTGAGATGATGGTTAGTACTCTTTATCAAATAAAGGATTTTTAAATTAAGGTACGTACATTTTTTATTGCACATTTAATAGACTACAGTATAATGTAAACATAACTTCTATATGGACTGGGAACCAAAAAATTTGTGTGACTCACTTTGTGATATTCACTTCATTGTGGTGGTTTGGAACCAAACCCACAATATCTCCAATGTATGCCTGTATACATTCTCTTTTCTCTTAACTTTTAAAAAAGACACATGCCTGTTTCAAACAAAAATTATAATATTATACTGTTGGATTTATCAGGTATAGCTATTATATATGAAAAACAACCAAAAAAGAAGAGAGTAAATGGAACCATACTGTTCCAAGTTTCTATATTTTGTATGAGGTTGTATAATATTAATTCTAAGTTGACTGTGATAAATTAAAGATGTATACTGTAATCCCCTAGAACAACCATTAAAAACAATATAGGGCTTCCCTGGTGGCGCAGTGGTTGAGAGTCCACCTGCCGATGCAGGGGACACGGGTTCGTGCCCTGGTCCGGGAGGATCCCACATGCCGCGGAGCGGCTGGGCCCATGAGCCATGGACGCTGAGCCTGCGCGTCCGGAGCCTGTGCTCCGCAACGGGAGAGGCCACGACGGTGGGAGGCCCGTGTACCGCAAAAATACAAATAAAAAAACAATATAATTTGAAAGCCAATAGAAAAATCACAACAAAATATTTAAAATATTCAACTAACCCAAAAAAGGCAAGAAAAGAGAAACAGAGGGAGGAAAAAATCCAAATGGTAAACTAAATCCAAACATATCAGTAGTTATATTAAATATAAACCAACTAAACACACCAAGTAAAAGGCAGAGAGTGATAGGCCAGTTAAAAAAGCACGACCCAACTACATGTTATCTTAAAGAGGTGAACTTTAAACACAAATTCTTAGAGAGATGAACTTTAAATACAAATTAAGTTAGGGCTTCCCTGGTGGCACAGTGGTTAAGAATCCACCTGCCAGTGCAGGGGACACAGGTTCAAGCCTTGGTCCAGGAAGATCCCACATGCCATGGAGCAACTAAGCCTGTGCACCACAACTACTGAGCCTGCACTCTAGAGCCTGCGAGCCACAACTACCAAGCCCGCGAGCCACAACTACTGAAGCCTGCGCACCTAGAGCCCATGCTGTGCAACGAGAAGCCACCACAGTAAGAAGCCCCAACAAAGAGTAGCCCCCACTTGCCACAACTAGAGAAAGCCCGTGCGCAGCAATGAAGACCCAGTGCAGCCAAAAATAAATAAATAAAATTTAAAAAACACAAGTTAAAAGTAAACAAATGAAAAAAAAAAAAAAAAAGTAAACAAATGAAAAAAGATATTTCATGCAAATACTAAGCAAACAGTTATTTCTATTTGGCTCCAATTTGAATAAACACTTTTTTACATGTACCTTTCCAATTACATTTGTTACACACCAGTTATTTATCAACCTGGATCCATTTGGGGTGATTCTTTTTTTTAATGTTTGGGTTTCATTTGACCCTTGACATTTATTTTTCTTTTAAATCACTCACATGACTGCTTTCTCACCTCCCCCACCCAGTATGATTAATGAAATGTCTTATCAAGGGAAGCCTTTCAGGATTTGCTGGTCTCTCTTATCTGTACTCAAAGGATTTCAGCATTTGATCTAGCTATTAAAGCAGGTAATGATTCTTAATCCCCTTTGATTTTTTTCATTCTTATTTGTTTACTTTGCTCCTTTTATGTACATCATTTCCTTTTTGGTTTTGTCTATTTCTGCAACTCTGAGGTGGGGCTAGCCCACTGGAGGCTGATGAGCCCTTCAAAGCCGCCCCCCTCACAGGCTAGAGGCACCACCTTCTCCTCCCTTGTTTTCTCTTCCCACCCCTGGTTGTCCTCTTCAGTTTTTCTCTTCCACTTAGAGAAGTCTTTGAGTTTAGCTCTTTCTACAGTAGGCACCTTCTAAACAGAATTTCAAAATTAGACAAGCTTAAGTTTGGAAGAGTTTTCCTACATTCTTTAAACAATACTGGAGCTCTAATGCTCCCTCAAACTTAGACAATTCATAGCTGGGGCAGGGCTGGAAAGAACATGACTATAATAACAAAGAAACCTCATACTAAGCATGACTACAAAGAATGGTTTTGTGGCATGTGACAAACCTGCTCAAGTGAAAGGAACACCACCAATTCCCTTCTAGCCATCCTGGCTTCATAAAGAATTGCCTATCCCAACAAACTCCACTTGTGTATGGTACCGCTTTTCACAAACCGTGACCTTAGGAAAGAAACCTAATAAACTAACAGTCCCATGGGAGACAGAACCCCACTGCTTTCACCACTTTAGACAATGTTTTCAAAGATGCTTTTAAATGTAAGAAGGCCTTACCTAACTGGACCACTGAACAAAAATTATTTTAGACGGTAACATGCAAGAGGCAATACTAAGAACTGCTTGGGTTGCTGTTTACTTCTGAAAACTTGAGCCACGATCAGGTGCTTTGAGATCTTCCTTTTCAACGTGGGTCGTGTCTTAAAATACACAGACTAGGTCACCAAGGGATTCAGTGGTTAGCTAAACACCCATGGAAACGATTCATTCCAACTTGCAGTTTTAAGTAAAGATTTAAGGGCCTGCTATGCCTCCTATCAAGAGTAAATTATCACACATCCTGTTTATACAGCCTGGCTTGTCCACAGTTCTTCAAAGAGCTGGTGACACCCCCCTAACTCACACTCCACCCTACCCCCAACTTCCTGCTCATTGGGGTGCTATATTCCTACTCATTTTTAAGAGATGCCTCCCTCAACAAAATACTCTGCATTACAGTACTTTTTAAAGAAAATACTTTATTACGTCATGAAAAAAATGCATCAATCAACTAGATTCATACTTGTTTGAAAAAAAAATTGAAAATTTATTAATTAGACAGTATGTGGGCATCCTGTTCCACGTGGGAATGAGAAGATGCTATAGGTTCTCTAAGTATTGCACAGTCTGAAAAAGACACCAACAAAAAAAAGGGGAGGGGAAAAAAAAAATCACATAATCTTGGGAACCACCTCACATTATGAATAATCTACCAAGAAACATTTAAAAAAGAAAACCCTTTGTTTCTACAGTAGCTTTGAGTTTATAGTTCTTGGAATGACTGTATTCCATTGACAACATCTCAGTAACAGGAAGCTTCATTTTAGCAATCCCATGTGCAAATATTAATAAAAAAATATATAAAATAATGCAATTCACCTCTTGCCATCATCCCAGCAATCATAACATTTCTGAGAACTGTTTTGCTTGAAAAAAGGGGTTAAGCCATAAGTTTTGCCTGAAGCTCCATTTCTGCAGCCCGTTTGAGTGCAACATCTACCAGAAGCTGAAATCCACTAAAATCTTGGTTGAGGTCCGGTGGAGTAGGGGGAGGAGTGTTGAAGAGACCACTCTGTGTGTGTGCACTTGGTCCAGATTTACACGTGTCCTCTGGGTACATGAGGGAGGTGTCTGTAAAGCTGCTGGCTGCCATCTGCTGTATATCTGCGTTTTGTCCCACACCAACTGACTGGCAGAGAGAGAAAGGCACATCTTTCAATGCAGTCACAGTGGTATGACAGATAACCGATGGACGAGCCAAAATGGATCCTGGGGATGACGGCTTAGGAGACAGTGGCCTCCCTAGGGCTGGGTTGGGTCCAGCTGTACAGGAGTGAAAAGGGCTCTCCTCTAGAGCCGGCATGAAGTTTTTGATGCCTGTTGCTGACTCCACAGAGCTGGCTTCAGATATCTTGGCCCCTCGGCGGGAAATTGTGAACTGATTTGGATCTTTGCCATCCTTTCTCAGCATGTCGGGGAGGAGCCTGCGCCGGGCGTTGATAAACCAGTTACAGACCTGAAATCATACAGGGATGTTTTAGACGCTTTAACACTCCGCCAACACGCCCGAGAGCCTTCTTGGGGGCGCCTTACTGCTCTCTCTCTTTGCATTAAAGGAGGCATGAAAAGGCTTAGCGGGACCTTCAAAGTTATTTAGAGGTAGTTGAGCCCGGCCAAGAAAAGAGAGGTGTTTCCTGTCATAAACCTCCTCTTTTTCTAATACAAATCCCCTTTTTGGTCTCTCGTCATCCTTAAACCTTTTCAGGAGGAAGGAAAAGAAAGGTATACATTCTCAAACGCCTGAAAATGATTTTAGAGAGGGAATTTTACCTTTTAACTCTCCCCATATTAACCTGTTATCTACCGCCCCAGCATTTAAGTTAATCAACTACAGGAAAACCTTTCCTGGATGAAAAGAGCCACTCCTCCCAGTTACTGATTTTTCCCAGTTCAAATGACTATGTCAACAGACAGAACATGAATTACCTCACTGAAGTCTGAACTTGTTTAAATATCAAACCAGTTTCCTGGGCAATAGAGTAAGATTTAACCTCCTTCTTATGTTTGTTGCATAAAGGAAGGCTCTTTTAGGCATTAAAGGAAATGCTATTTGACAGATGACTGTCAAGTGTTTCTGTTTCTCTACATAGCCAGTTATTAGCTGTTAGCACTATAAAAAGTTTACAAGAAAAAGATATGCCCCCCCCCCTTTTTTTGAGTGGGGAGGCACTTAATGACTTGCTATACAGGAATGCTATAAAGAGACTTTGGGGAAAAAACCCACCACACCCCCCGGGCATACAGCTGGTGTTCCTTTCCCTTACCTGTAGTGTAGAGAGGTGTGTTTGTTGGGACAGTAATGCTTTTTCTTGCTCTGAGGGGTAGGCATTGTATCGGTGTTCATACAGCCAATCGCGGAGAATCTGAACGGATTCCTTGGGCAGGTTGCCCCTCCGCCTTCTCTTGCCTGAGCCAGCAGAAGAGGAGAGGTCCAGGGGGCTGTCCATGCTGTCATCATCCTCGGTCTCACTGCCAGACGCGGCAACAACACCTACGAGAGGACAGAGGCCAGCCGTCAGCCACTGTTATCAGCAAAGCTCACCTCTTTTGACCACTCAGCACAACTGTGTTTTCTCAACTCTTGAGAGCCAAACAAGCGAAGAACGGGTGTTTTCCGCCCTGAAACACCAGAGCTCGTGCGAAATCTCAAGAGTAATTCGACTAGCAGCATATTCTAGATTCCCAGCCCCCCGGCAGATTCCCTTTCGTACCCATTTTCCTATAGGATTCAACATCTCACATTCCTTTTCAATGGTGCTCAGAAGTGTCTAATCCAGCAAGTGAGACACAGCTGCACCTAAAGCGAATAGCTTGCCACGTGTGAAACAGGAAAGGTGTCATAAGCAGACGGGATGTGTCTGACAACCTTCTCCGTGAGGTCATTGCTAACTAGGAAAAACAATCCAACTAATGTACCTTTGAAACACTGTTCTTCCTCCCTCTTCCGCTGAAGGTTTTGAAATAAAAAGGAAGATTTTTTTCCACTGATACAAGCCAAGAAAATTACACTTGTAACCCAGTTAGTAGTCTAAAGATAAAATGCATGGCAGAATTTTCTGCCAATTCCTCTTCTTTTCCTTTTCATTGCTACCCCCATTTATTCAAAACTAGACACCTACTTTTAATGGACAGTACTAGTCACTTTTTACTAAATGCAAACAACCACTGAAGTTTTAAATTTCACTGCATAAAACTATTCTATTTTTAGTACTTAATGTAAGAGGTCAAAAGATGCCTAGTAGTGAATAAACTTTAAAACTTCCGTAAATTTCAACTGCCAGTTTAATCCGAACCCAGGATACTACATATCAATAAGCAGAGATCAGCTTTAAATCGTTACATGACAAAGAAAACTGAATATGCAACCCCCAGAGGAAACTCTTTTGTTTACAAGCGCTTTAATCCTACCAGAAATTTTTAAAAAGTCACACCCATAGAGAATATTTAAATCACACATAGACTGGGTTCTACAAAAATTCAGACTTGGCCCTTTTGACATTTAAAGATAATTTTGAACTTTAACCCTTCCCCGTTTCAAAACTACAAAAGGCTACTCTGACTAAAGACGTATATTCTCATTTTTGAAGACAATTAAGAATTTTAAAAACATAAATAAATTACAAACTATAGTATGCTTGAAAAACCAGTATTTCTATATAAAGGAAATTAAGGTAGCATGACATTTAAAGGTAGGCACTCTTAACTTTGTTGACGCAAGCTCAAGTGGTTTACCTTGTTAGGAAATAAAAACAGTATTCCTCAGAGTGATAAACCATTCAATGTATCTTAAAGGAACTTTTCCCAAACCCCATCCTTTCAAAGCATTTTAACACAGTGAAACTCAAAAAGCTACTCATTCAAGATTTGCTGATGAGCTAGCTCATCAGTTAATTGAGTCTAACTCTTCTTGGTGACACATTTTCAGTTTTGGACTGCAGGGGGCAGAAGGTGCTGGAGGGAGTGTCCGCAGAAAAGGCAGAACCTTCCAAAGACAAAGTAAAGCAAGTTCTAACAAAAGAGTAGGATGATCTTGCAAATTCACTTTGGCTCAAGGCTTAATTAACAAACAGCCATCAGTAAAAGGCCCAGCAACCCTAAATTTTAACAGCAGCTGCATATCTGATGTTTTTCAACCCAGATTTCATTAAACTGCTTAAAAAGAAAGAAAAAAAAGGAGGCACATTTAAAACTGAAAGTGCTTTCACTGTTGAGAAGATGAGAAACTTTTAAAACCGGTGTTGAAACTTGGGTGAAGAACTATTAACAAAAAAACCTTAAGAAATTATAAATGTTCCTGTTTTACATTTGCTCTGATAAAGAAATCTTAACTTTTAAAAACGTGTCAAGTAACTGAATGACTAAAGCAAATGTGAATAAAGCAATTTGTTTAAACTCTTCAAAAAGTCTGAAAAGTCAGAACTTCTCTAGGCTATTAACCCCACCTCCCCTTTTTAACGTTTTAGAAACAGTGTGAAAGTCTGCTCACTGAACAGTGAATTCCCAACTGTAAATTGACAATCACAAATAGTTTGAAACAAACAAAAAACCCCTAAAGCCTGTCCTTTGATCCGCTCACTTAGTTTGACAAGAAGCCTGATCTTTCAAAACAGGCTAGTGACACAGAAGCAGGTTTCAGTTAAGCAACACCAAACTGCAGCGACTTTACTCTGTTCTCAGTTCATTTAAATAAAAAAGCGGCCAGGCCTCCGGACCTCTTAACAAATATTTCCAATATGTGCACAAAAGCTGACGGAACAGGAAGTTAAGACTTCAATTCCTCGGCTGTGCCAGCTGATATTTCACTACAGCAAACCACGTTTGCTGCTGTCAGGACTGTTTTCATTAAAACTCTCCCTCCGGATTGTGGCTCAACTTGGAAAAACAAAAAGACTTTTCCAAGTTACTCATTTCCTATTGTAACAGAGCTTTGGAACACTTTCCCGGTTACGACTTGTTTCCAAACGTTTTACTCTGCTCACACTTTAAAAAATGTGGTGGTCGGGGGCGGGGGGGCGGTGCGGGGGGATCACAAGCCTCTTTTACTCCATCCACATACAAGGAAATTTGTTTAGAAAGCCACAAGATGCTCTATGAATCCCACAGCGCTAAAAAGCATTTTTTTTTTCCTGAGTAGTAACAGGGGGAGGGGCAGAGCCCGGGGGGGGCAGAGAGACAATGGTTGTGAAGTTGGACTCTTAAAAAAAAAATCTGGACTAGAAAAAGATCTGGGAATAACAATAACCGAAGGCAACGCTTAAGGGTACAAATAGGAAAAAGCAAACCTAACCTAACAGGTTTCCTGATCAGAACATCTCAGGAGAAGCGACGGGAAACGTACTTAACCCCCCCAGGCACCAAATCCAAGGAGCGCTAGGATGAACCCAGCCGCAGAAGTCTGAAGCAAGAATCCCACATCGTCAGAAACCGGGAGCAAAGAGACTTAGGGGGTTTTCCTCAACGAATCTGCTTGCTTGTTTGAAAATCTTTTGGGGAGATCTTTTGGGCATTCTCAGTTTTCTAAGACGAGACACTATTGTCACAAAGCAGTCTTACCAAATCCCCGGCTCCGCGATTGAGTTTTTAAGTGCTTTTGTTTTCAACAAAACTTGAAAAGATTTTCACTGACTTTTATAAAACGGACAGTCCAACTCGGCGAGCCAGATCTCTTCCGGAGCCCTAGCGGAGGCCACTGGGCGCGGGGCCCCCAGGTGGCTGGAGGCCGGGGCGAGGGCGGGCAGGACCTAGAGGGACTCGCCGAGGGAGGAGCCCGGCCCGGCCGGCCCGGGAGCTTTTGTTCCGCCAACTCCTCGGCCCCCGCTGAAGTCGCCCCTCCGACCGCACGAGTGAGAGCAAACCCAGGCCTTGGAGTTTCAGATTACAAGAAACTGAAAACGGGGCCGTGAATCTCAACCTCCTCAGGGGCCTGCCCACCCGCAAAGGATTTGCCAGGAAAACCTAAAAAGGGAAAGAAACCCGGGCAACCTCGGCAGTCTCCGCTCCCCCGCAAGGGCTCCGAACCAGTCGCGAAGTTTCCCCTCCAACACGTCACCTTTCATTGTTTCCATGAGTCGGCGCGGTAGCAGTACCTCGCGCCCCGGGGCAGCGCGCCCCGAAGATTCCCCAGGGACCGGCGGGTTCCTGCCCCGTCCCCTGGCTGGGCTGGGGGGAGGGCGCCGAGAGAGGGGTGCCGGGAAGGACGGGGGGGGCACCGGCACAATAGCGGGGAGGGGGGAACCCCAGAGCCTTACGGGTGGTCGGGGAGGATCATCACAGCCTTCCCCGCCAGAGCCCGAACAATGGGGGGAACCCGCCCCGGCGCAAGCCCAGCTCTGCTCTGCTCGCGGATCACAAGACGCACCCGTCAAAAACAACCCAACTTGTCCCAGTCAGTTCACCAGAAGGGAGAGAACGCCTCCCAGGGACGATCTGGACCTGTCAGCCTTCCACGAGTTGACCTGGTCTCCCTGGGCGCCCCCGGGCGCTCCCCGCGCGCCTTTTCTCGCCGAGCCCAGTTAAACGTCCAAACCTCTGAGCCCCGGCTCTCGCCCTTCAGGGTCCCCGGGGAGAGGACGCGCGGGGAGTTAGTTCCACTACAACTACCAAGGCCCCGGGGTGGACGTTTAGTTTGACTCCCGCCCGCAAAGCGGGACGTGGGGAGCTCCGCGTGTTTCAAAGGCACCAGCCCAGTATCAAACGAACAGAAATCCAAGGTGAAAATGTGGCCGAGGGAACCCTCTCGGCTTCGAGGCTGCCCCACTCTAACGGGAGTCTGTTCTAACCGTATTCGCTCGACGAGTCTGAAAGAATGTGGAGCTGGAGAAACTCTGGCCGCAGCTGGGCATGCGCAGTAGCCACCCCTCCCCCCACCCCGCCCGCGCTGGCTTCCCCGAGCGATTAACTTCTGTTTTGAACCACTCGACATAAATCACAACAGAAAAGCCAACTCCGGCCCACGACGGAACATTCGGGGGTACCTCCCTGCTAGGGACTGAAAAGTTAACTTCAAAAGAGAGTTAAAATTCTTTGACCTTTTGTGGTGGTGTCTTTTTTTCCCCTTTTTCTGTGTATTTTGTTTTTAAACCAGACTGACGGCAAGTTTTAGCTATAAAGCTTCCAGAACGCTTCGTGGAAACAATGACAGACTCACTCTTTGCATGTCACACTTGAACTCATTCTGACTGCACGCCGCTTGCCCGCAGTCCTAACTCTTCCTCTTGCCCCAGATACATCGTGGGAAAACTTGTAGAGGCTGGGAATTCTGAAAAGTCTAGCTTTCCAAAGGGACCGACACCCGGCGGCGACCTGGGGTCCAGAGTCGCCTTCCTCTGGTGGTGTAAACGCCCCATCCCTGGAGAAGACGTGCCCGGCCCGGCCGGGAGTGAGCGGGGACCCTGGAGCCCAACTTTGAGACAAAGGCGCCGCGGCTCCGCCGGCCGGGCCGCCCAGGGTCCCAACGGGGAAAAGCGGGGCAGGGGTGCCCCCGACCCGGACCCCACTCCCCCGCCCGCGAGAAAGAGCAAGAAGCCACGCGGCGAGCGTGGGGTGTCTGCGGAGACAATGAAACTTGGAGGCGCACAAACAAGGCGGCGAGCGTGTTTCTTGACAACGTGCCAGCAGCGTGGAGAGGCCCGTCTCCCCACAACAGCCCCTCGGTGTTGTGTCTAAGAAGGAAACAACAACTGCCATTTCAGACGCAGCCTCAACAAAGAGAACGGCCGCCGCTCGGGCCTGCGAGCCCCGGGGCGGAAAAGTCCACCAAGTCACTCTCGCCCCAAACCCAGCGCCGCCCCTCAAGCACGTTTCCCTGGGACTCGCGTCCACGGCGCGCGCAGCCCGCGAGCCTTACCTTTCTTGCTTTTCATTCTGGAGCTCCCCTTCCAGCGCGAGGCGACGCTGGGGTCTCCAGGGGCTAGGAGCGAGGGCGAAGGGGCCGAGTGATTGTCCTCCTTCCCGGCCGACTCTCCCGTAACTTGTAGGACGCGCTCCAGCCGTTATTGCTAAACAAGGCGCTCGGATCCCAGGCTCCCGCTCCTTGGGTGGAATTCAAGTGACACTTGGGCTTCCTCCTGCCGGAATCTTCTGGCAGCCGGCCGGGGGCTCCCCCCCTCGCCCAACTCGCTCCCCTCCCTACTCCGCTCCTTTGTTCCCCGCTCCTGCTCGGCGCACCTCGGCGCTGTCAGAGTGAGCGAGGCGAGGAGGGAAGGTACAGGAGGTCCTGCCTCCGCCCCCAGCCGCCCGCCCCCTCCCCCGCCCGCCCCGCCGCCCCGCCGCTCCTCCGCCCCTCCCCCGCACCTTCCAGCCGCGAAGGACGGCACCGAGCGCCGCGGCCGCGCCGCCTCACCCCGCGTCCCCGGGCCGCTGTCACCCGTTCCTCGTGGGGGCGGCCGAGCCCAGAAACGCGATCGCTGCTCCCCACTGCGCGCACGCCGCCTGCATCCCCGGCTCGGCGGCGGCGACACCAGCCGAGCGCCCCGAGTTTCTACTTTAGGCCTTTCTTCCCGGGCCTGGCGAGGGTGCGTTTGGTTAGGAAATTGCAACAGATGGAAAAGAGGCCGTCTCCTCCTCCCCCTCCTCCACCCCAGGGAAGAAAAGGCTCCCCTTTCGTTTTTGACAGCTGCCCCAACTCCACCGTCCCCGCTCTGGCAGCAGGAGAAGACAGCGGCTGCTGGTTCAAGGGGCGGGGCTCCGTAGGAAAAGTATTCGGGACAAGAACCAACTTCTTCCAGAATGCGCGGCTGCCATTGACACGCGGGCGCGGCGCGGCGCACCCTTCTCCTCCGGGGGCTCTTCCTCCACAGCAACAGTGGGGGGCGGGGGGGGGAGGATGAGGCACAGACACCCCGGGTGAAAGTCTGTTCCCCCCGGCTAAAGCTGCGAGTTTCGGACTGGATTGCAAGGCAGTTTCGAAATCTAACATGTTGCGGACAGACACTTGTCATGCTCACATGCTCTTTAAAAGTCTCTGCCTGGGGACGGCCCGGACGCGCGCCCGCCCCGCCTAGACTCGGCCTGACATCCGCACCCCCGAACCCGGGCAGCTGTGCCGCCTTTATGGGAAGGGGGCTACCACCCCCGGGGGCGCTCATCTGTTTCGGTAAACAGAGTCTACTTTTAGGACTTATATCCTGCTAGGGGACCCTTTTCTCCCCACCCCCCCACCCCCGGTACTTCAAACAGAAACTAACCATTAAGTAAATACATGTTCCTGTTGCTTTAATTTGGTTGAGAGGAGGACTCCAGTAGGAGTTCCTAGATGAAATTACCCTTTAAAAAGACTTCTCTCCTCTCCTTTTCGCGTTTGTCCCCTTCGTCGTTTTGAAGTAAATGAACCGTCACATGCCACACTAAGACTTTCCCCATCACTTAAAAAAAAAAAAAACCCAAACGTAAATAATTTAGCCTGATAGAGACGTCAGCTCCCGAGTCAGCCTCCAGTTTCTGCTCTGTGCTGTTTTTGTTTTGTAATCTCTGTGAAGAACCCGGCAGAAGCTCCGTGGAAATAAGGTTCAACCCAAGGAGGAATAAGGCAGCCAAACGATGACTAACTAGATTTTGGAGCCTCTGTTTTAGGATTACACTGAAAATTAAAGCCAGCCTCCCACATACTCACCCTCCCCCAAAAAAGACACCCCCGCCCCGAGAGTGAATAAGGCCAGAGTTTACAAAGCTTGGGTGGTTTTTTCCAATTACAGGGCTTAAAATGGATAAACAAGGAAAACAGCGTCAGTCTAAGAAGGGAACGACCTTACGATTATTTTTTTCCTGTGGTGTGCCGACTGCTCGGCACCTAAGAGAACACACATCTAAAACGACCAAGGGGGGGAACATGGTCCTGGGGGAAACCACCAGCCTGGAGGGGCTCCCCTGTAACTTGCCGGAGCGCAGTTCCTTCCCGGCCTGGCGGCAGATGAATCAGCGGCTGCGCCCGCGCGCAGGACAGATGTGGGGCGGGGAGGGGCCCGTTAGAGGGCCGCTCAGCTCCCGCGTTTGAAGGGTTGTTTGTTGCTGGGATTGGTGGCTCACATCCGTTGGGGACCGGGAGAAGGGGGAGGAGGGACGCAGGAGGAGGAGCCGGACCGCCGGCGCTGCGCCTCAGCGGTCGGGGTGGCAGGAGCCTCGTCTGGAGCCGGTTACTGGGGAGACGCTTTGTTTGCTAACTTCGAAAGCCGCTTCGGCTGCCTCGGCCTCTTTCGAAGCCGGTCCACGAAACCCGCCTTCGGGTCGGCTTAACCCTCCCCCTGGGCCGTTTGCACCAGCGCGAGACAAAACTGTTTCCTTCTTCCGCGTGGTTCTCCGCGGCCACGCGGTGGCTCTCATTATGTACACAAAAGTATCTTTTCCTTCGTCTAAGTGAACTTGGCTGATTATTGCGATTCTCAAGCAGCCGAGATGGAAACCGAGGGTTGCAGGGAGTTTATAGCTAGAAAACAAACTTTACCGGGGAAGGGGCGCCGAGAATTAAAAGCCTCTTTTCAAATGGCCAGGAGGAGAAAGTCGAACTTTCAACTCTCTCGCTGGAGGTCCGGCTTGGTCCGGGCAATGCTCACCTTTGGCTCGAGCGAATCACACCGAAGCAGCTATTAAAGCTGGCGAGATGCTCCCGAGAGGAACACGGGCCCCCTGCCCCGGGTCGATGTCCTCCCTCCCACATCCTCAAGGCCCGTCCCAAACTTGTTGCAAGCTTTGGATTGTTGGTGCATTCTGGGAAGAAAGTGCCTGGAGTCTGCGTAACACAGGCCAGGAAAACAACCCGAAAGAGTGGGCTTGAAAAACCAGCAGTTGCTTAGGATATTTTTGTTTATTTGCTTTTCTCAAGGTGGAAAAACAAGTTTCAGTTCTGGCTCTGTGAGTCCCGAAATATCCCAGGTAGGGCCTCTCGCTGAAACTGATCCAGTGTCCTTTAAGATTCTTCCCGGTGCTTGGGGGGAAGAAATGTGGATTCACATTTACTATGTATTATTTGCCGAATTCATGTGGATGTTAATTATATTGGAAAATTGCATGAATGAAAAGTGAGAAAGTCTTTGGTACTCGATCATCGTTTTACACCATTATTTTTTCCCTCCAGGCACACAGTTCCATTTGGTGTCTTATCTTCCCAGGCTGCCTCAAGGCCAAGAAAAGACACAGAGTTAAGTTACTTTTCACAGCTGCAAACCCTTCAAAAGCAAAACCTCAAAAAGAAACTTGGAAAGGCACATAAGCCAGAAAAGTGTATCAATACTTGCAGTTATTATTTTGATACGTGGTCCATCAAGTGATTGAAGACTATTTATTTCCTTCATCTCAGTGACCGCTGATAAAGCCTGATTCCACGTGGCACTGTCTTACACCGAGGAATGATGACTCACAGTCACTGGATCCCTTTTGCTTCTCCTCTCTGGGGAACAGATATTTTTATAAAATATGCAGACTGCGGGGCTCCAAGCACTGCACAAGGGTTCTATAATCATCTCTTGACATCTCAGGTCAGAGGGTCCTAGGCTGCTTAAGGAGAAGCCAACCATTGTCTTTTCAAGGGCCTGGGGCTGGGCTACAACCATCTTGTGGTGATTTTATCTGTCCCATCAGCCTGACTCTCCTCCCCTTAGTTACATGAATAATGTAACTTGTGCTACTACTTTTGTTTGTAATCACTTTTCTCCTGGCCTGCATTTCCCTTCCCAGCCCTTTTTTCCCTCTGCAGCACAGGCCTCCTTTTTCTTTCCCTAGAGGGGATTTGAACTCAACAGGACAAAGCAGAAAGATAATGGTTGAGCACAGCCTCTAACCTCTCTATTCTCAACATCATGATCTGTACTGTGTTTTACAGTTTACGAAACAATTTAAATGACCTCATTTAATACTCAAACGAGTTAGCTAGGTTATTATTTTTTTCCTAAAGTGAAGATAAGCTAAAAGGTATAAAACCAAGTACTGGACGTAAATTACCTGACTGAAAATCAAGTGTTCTCGCATCATCTGTGGAGGGTCTGGTGGATGTGGAAGGCACTATAGGGCAGAGACTGACCACAGATTACAACACCAGGGCCACCTGAGCACATGGAGGTTGCTCTAAAACCTGTCTCTTCTCTGAAATCTACCTGGAGTTTTACCAGAGGCTGTCTTCCAACCTGCCTGCTTTTTGTGCTTTTCTTCTTTCCTCATTTTTTAATTACAAAAAAAGGGGCGGGGTGGGGTGGAGGGAAGACTGTTCTCAAAAATCCAAGCAAGGAAGAAGTATACATAGTGAAATAGGAAAGGCCTCTTAATTGACCCCTTCACTCTCCATATGCGCATATGCATATTACACTCAAATGTAAGGGGGTTTTCATTGTTATTTGTTGTTTTCAAGTCCCCTCTGCCTGGGATGGCCCCATAGCATTTGCTGCCCATCGGGCTTTTTCTCACCAGTCAGAATTCGGCCTAAATATCTTCTCAGAAGAGTCTTCTGTGACCACTTGACCTAAATTTCGTTACCTTCGCTGCCACCATCTAGCTCAGGGGTTCTCAACCGCAGTCCTGTTTGGGGCTGGATAATTCTCGGTTGTAGGGGGCTGTCCTGTGCATTGTAGGATGTTTACCAGCACCCCTGGTGGCTAACCAATACTGGCTGGTAACACCCTACCCCCGAGTTGTGACAAACATCTCTAGACATTACCAATGTCCTCCAGAGGGGACAGAAATTGGGGTGGGGGACACCTCTGGTAGAGAACCACAGGTCTCGCTCAACCCTTTCTTTTCTTCCATAGCCCCACAATTTTTTTTTTTTTTGGCTGCGCGGGCTCTTAGTTGCTGTGGGTGGGCTGTTCACTGTGGCGCGCAGGCTTCTCTCTAGTTGTGGTGCGCGGGCTCTGTAGTTGCGGCATGAGGGCTTACTTGCCCTGAGGCATGGGGGACCTTATCTCACCGACTAGGGCTCGAACCCACATCCCCTGCATTGGAAGGCGGATTCTTTTTTTTTTTTTGCAATACGCAGGCCTCTCACTGTTGTGGCCTCTGCCGTCACGGAGCACAGGCTCCAGACGCGCAGGCTCAGGGGCCATGGCTCACGGGCCCGGCCGCTCCGCGGCACGTGGTATCTTCCCAGACCGGGGCACGAACCCGTGTCTCCTGCATCGACAGGCAGACTCTCAACCACTGCGCCACCAGGGAAGCCCGGAAGGCGGATTCTTAACCACTGGACGGCCAGGGAGGCCCCATAACACTGCAAGTTTTAATTATTTTGTTCATTTGACCGTTAGTGTGTTTGTTGTCCTTTGACAACCCCCCCACTAAAATGTGTGCTTATTCTTAAATATTCCTCAACTTGGCACAAGGCCTCAACCATAAAGGGACCCAATAAATATTTCTCAAACAAAATAATGCATGAAAATGAGACTGTAGGAATCGTTAATAAAAATACAATCCGTTATTGTAAATAACACGCCAGGCAGCGTTAAATACTTCACATATTTTAATCTTTATTCCTGAAAACATCCTAAGAAGCACGCCTTATCGTTATCCCCATCTGACAGATGAAGAAGGGCAGTTCAGTCATTTGTCCTGCCATTCTGACCCCTGGTCCATGATCCAAACAATAATGATATTCTGCAGCTTGCTTTTTTCATTTATGTTTAGTGCTAAGCATTTAAATAGTGTCTAATTTGTAACTAAGCACAAAAAGAAAGTGCAATTATAGTTAAAATATTCAACAATTGATAAAACATAGGCACCAACCAATGCCAGGAGCTCCTTCGGACTGTAAACGAGGGCACACTGAACCAGTGTGTCTCAACAGAATGTCAGTTTGTATGCAGATCTTTGGGGGCTTTTGTGAGTATATTTGTAGGAGTCCCTGGAAGGTAGACTAGCTGAGTCAAAGGGCTGTGCATTCAAAATTTCACAGATGTTGCCAAATTGCCCTCCAAATCATCTTACATATTTAAAACCTCTTTCTCTACACCCTTGCTAACACTGCACATTATCAATCAATTTCATATTTGCCAATCTCCTAGACAAATACATGACACCTAACTTTTTTAAGAATACATGCTTGGTTTGAGAAGGTGAGCACGTTCTTGTGTTTTCTGTGCATTTATTTCTTCTTTTCACCTGTTCATAACTTTCGTCAAGTTTTCTACTGTGTTCATTGTTCTTCCTGTTCTTTTCTTCTTCTTTTTTTTTCTTTTGGCTGTTCCGCTTCTAGGATCTTAGCTGCCTGACCAGGGATTGAACCTGGGCCCTCAGCAGTGGAAGCACAGAGTCCTAACTACTGGACCACCAGGGAATTCCCTTTCTTCCCTTTTTAAAATGGTGAGAACCAGCCTGTTTTTGTATTAGCCTAAAAGTATTTGACAGAATTAAAGGAACAAGGTTAGATGGACCAATAATGAAGGCGGGGGCATGGGGTGATGTGTCCTGATTTAAAAAAAAAAGAAAAAAAAATATAGTTTGGAATAAGTACCATATTTATGAGGTAAAAGTAAGACCTTCAGAATACTGTACCAGTTTTTAACTGAGTCCCTTTCTCCTCTTTCCATCAAAGGGTTAATCCACTCATATGTTTCCATTTATCACCATTACCTCGTCTCAAAGCTGTAGAGGACCCATTTATAAAGCA